GAGAGGTGGGATATTCTTGTCCATATCCTTTTTAGCCAATTTTAAAGTGTTTTGGCCTATGTAAATATTTTTTAAAGATAAGACATGTTTGATAAAGAAAAGTATTTTAAGACAATAGCTTGATTATTGCTATTGATCTCATAATGAACTGATTTAAAGTTTTAATATATATTTTTTAAAGATAAGATATCTTGCAAACTGGTTAGCCCGCTGATCCTTGGGGACAAGACCCGAAACCCGGACGGGCCACTACGGTGGTGTTTGGCCTTGCATTGGTCGTAAGTAATTTAACTACTTAAATTACTTGTTGGTTGCCTGTAATCTAGAATTTTAATTTATTTTCCTTTTCAGGAAAAGGTTGTTTGGTTCTGACTGATTCGTTCAGGCTTGTCCTTTCATTTATTTATTCAGTTTTATAAAATTACATCATATTGGGTCTTTCGCTCACTTTTTCTCTATTTTCAATGTTTTAACCCCCCTCCAAAGTTAGCAGTTTAGATTTACAGCATGACAAGTGGATGTCAATGGATTGAAGGCGCGAGATTCGAAGTGGTTTGTATATTCTGAATTTGCAGTTTTTAATTCTGAGAAATACTGTATTTCTGTATATAAACTCTATTGGTTGACACTGTCCTAGAGTTGTATTATTTTGAACTCCATGGACTATTTTAAATATTATTTGTAAAAGAAAGACTCAAGTAATATATTTTAATATCTATTTTGGTATTTGTATATTTTATTTTATTTTCATGGATTTTTCTTAATTTATCTAGTTTAATTAAGTCAATTTTCTTTAATTATATCTCAATAATCATGGTCTCATCTTTAGGTCATGACAAGTTATTTTGTTAATCTATTTCTAACATTCATTTCTATAATATGACCATTATTTTTTGTTATTTACACATTTTTGTTTCTTTTCACTATAAAATGTTATCCATTTGTGTGCCTATTAGTTATATTTTTATTTTAATTAAAAGTTTCTGTATAAAAAATTGAAATTTTCAATCTATATATGAGTAAAACTTGAATATCGAAATTTTTTTATTAAATTAATGATAACGTTATTATAACAATATCTAATAAGCCTTTTAGGGGAAAAATAATTTACTTTGTATTGCTAACATGGTAATTTTACAAACATAATTCATTGGATCATCTCTTTCTTTCTTTTTTTTCCCCCATAACAAGTAAGAAAGAAGAGTAACCCATCATCCTTCCTCTCTTGTTATATCAAAGAACTTTAGTAAAAATTACAATCCATGCTCCTCTTCCTCATGATTATCATCCTTACCGTCGTCATCGTTATACCCTACCAATTTCTATGACCGTAAACTCTTGTTATTATTTTTTCTCATTATATTATCCGAATACTAGTTATATAATATAAAGACTTATTTTATAATATATATGTACACACACATACAAATTGACTGGAGGAAGAGTATATGTTCTTTTCTGATTTTTTCACAACAAATGGCATAGTAACTCTTGCCCTTACAGCACGTGTTCATGGGGTTACATGTTCAATTTTAGTTACTTATGCTTCTCTATTTTATCAACTACCTTGAGGGAGATGCCTTAGGCACGTTTTAAAACTTTTTCTCATTTTAAAATTATTTAAGATATTTCAATGCAAACATGTTTTTTTAATTGTTTCTTTAAGAAGAAATAAATAGTCTCATTTTAAAATTATTTTAAGATGTTTCAATGCAAACATGTTTTTTTAATTGTTTCTTTAAGAAGAAATAAATAAATATGCTTATAATTCGACGAACTTTTTTACATGCTCACCATTTTTTAAGAGATGCCAACAATGCTTTAATAACGATAAACATAAGTAAATATAGTCAATTTATAATTATTTTTCAAACTAAAAAATTGTATTCATAAAAAATTTTACAATAATAGTGTAAATTTATTAAGAAGTTTAAAATTTTAACCTAAATAAAATTATAGTTCTATGAAAGTCAATATTTACATATTATGCATAATGATGATTGCAAAAAAAAGTTAAAAATATATATACATCTTCTCTATTACAAGTATAGTTATATAGTAAAGAGTATAGAGATTCACAAATGAAAATGTATGAAAGTAAAAGAAAAAACAAAAAATAAATGAGGTGTTTAAAGAGGAAATTAAGGAAATATATATTTTTTAATGAGAAACAATGAAAAATACAAGATTTTAAAAAGAAGGAAAAAAACAATATTTAAAATACAATTAAAGAAAACGAAAAGGAAAAAAGTTAAAAATACAATTTTTAAAGAACAAAAAATGAAAAGAAAAACTTACAAGCAAGCAAACATTTAAAGTAAAAAACTTTTCGAAGATCATCTGCGCTTCGATATAGAACAATAGATACTCAAGCTTTTGGTATAGGCTTCACCTCTACAAAGGCTGACCAATCTCTTTAATCAAAAATACTATGAAGAGTTCTATAATTGTACTCGTGTATGCAGATGATATCTTATTGTGAATGAATCTTCTCCTGAACAACACGTAACCGTGTGGACATGTACATAAGTAAAAACTACACTACATGTAATATTTATGAAAGTAGATGAAATATAACAATTTTTAAAAAAGTATTTTAGAAATAACAACAATTACATAATAATTATTTTAGTGGTGTTCATGTTTTGATATAAAATGACATAATAATTATTTTAATGACATTAACTTTTACTATTTGTAAAATATCTTAAGTTTTTTGTTATATTTCAATATGTCTTGTAAAATTTTATATCTTTAACATACATAAAAATAAAAATAAAAACTTTCCTCTCCTTTTGACATGCGTTATTACAAGAAGGTTTTTTCTTCTTTTTGAAACATAGCATCACCTTTTTGTTTTATTTTATTTTTAAAAAAAAAAAACATTTCTTGATTTCTTTTTTACTTTTCTTTTTTCTATTTTTTTTTCTTTTCAAAGTTCCTATATAGTTTAATTTTGTTTACAATGTATTTCTTTGAAATACGTTTTTTCATCGCTTTACACTTATTAAAATAATTTATTTTGAATATATCTATTTTTTCCCTTTTTGTTAAAAGCTGTAATGCAGTTTAATCATTTTTTATGTGTTTCTTGAAACATTTTTCTTATCGTATTTACATAATTTTTTTTTTCTTGGTGGCACTTTCAAATAAAATACTCTAATTTATCTCGGTTAAATAACTTATCTCACATATGAGCTTACTCAATATTTCTTTTTCTAAATGTGGTCCTCATAAATTATTTTTTCTAATTACTTTGTTGATATCATATCATATGTTTTTAAATGTGACTCTATCTATGTATTTTTTATAACCCCGTTAAATACTACTTTTTCATATGTACCCCATAAATAATCTCTCTATAATTTGCTACACTAAAAACTTTGTTTTCCTTTTAACTATGTTCTACTTAAATTTTAATTTTTTATTTTTTACTAAACCAAACTCTTAAAGGAATATTATGTCAATAAAAAATATATAAATTTTAAACTTTTATATTTAAAAGAATATAACACGTTGAATATACGCCCATAGCTTGTGGTTGGACTAGCATGTCTAAAAGGCTCCTAGGCCCTATGTGAATTATAATGCGCAAAATATATAATGAAAGTCCAACGTGTGACAACAATCTGTATTTATTTTTAAAAAGTACAGCATAAGAGTTTGAACCTTATCCCCTATTTTCATATTAATGTATTTGCTTAAAAGTTTTTGGGAGAAACACAATCAATATAAGATGTGCGCTGTTTGATGCTACTATGAAAAACAAACCTCCCAACACGTTATCGATTTTCAATGGGTACCTACAGCATCATCCCTGCTGTCTTGGTCTCATTCGGAACTCATTTCTTAAATCATATTTAGGTCTCATATCTATTTGAATAATTTTACTGATCTTTTGACTTTATGAAACGTTTATGAATTATAATGAACTTGGAAATAAGTAGACAACCGATAAGGTTGAATATCTGCTGATTGTGATTGACAGTTTTTAAACTGTCTGCTGATTGTAAATTTTTTTTCTTTTTTTCTTCTTTTTTAAGAAAACCGAATATTGTTTGTATCTTTCAAGAAACGTTTTCTGTTCTTTTTTCCTCGTTTTCTTTTGGCTTCAAGAGCACGATTTGTAAATGTTTATCACGATTTCTTTTCTTTTCTGTTTGCCCAAAATTTTGTAAAAAGGAACGTTACTTTTACCAATAGTCTTCTATCAATAGTTTCTACAATTTTCTTTTCCTGACCCAGAAAAAGGTCTAACTAGTTTTAAGTAGCTGAATTAATTCAAGAGAGAGATATTTTAGAGACATTAATTCGAGTTGAGATGTGACTTTATGTGATAATTTTTTACTGTAATAAAAAAGTTAAATGTGACTAATTCTGAGAACTTTTTACTGTAATAAAATTCAAATCGGTAAAATGAACAGTGCCTAATACAGTCAAATATTTTTAGTTATTTTTGTTTTTTGTCCTAGCGTTAGTTTTCCTTCAACAAAAATAAAATAAAAAACACTGATAGAATGGAATCAAAATTACTGATATAGACATTAACAAAAAAAAAAGGAAGTACTTTATCCTTTTAATTAGGAACTTTATCGCATTAATTAGGTTATTTACGAATGTATACATACATTATTTTGTATACGTTTAAAGAACTTAACAAAATTGAAACAATTCATGATATATGCTACTGTACACTGTACCCTCTTTTTTCCAAAAAAAAAAAAATATATATATATATATATATATGCTAAACAATAAAAAGATTCTAAGAACAAGTTGCCTGCACTCACAATTATTTATGTAACAAAGACAAAATTTCATAAAAGAAATCAATGGATGCACCCGTGTGTGTATTACAATGTGCCGTATTGGCATCTGATAATTTTCCTATTGCACTTCATTCCTGATCCCATATTCCCATGTTTCAAACAAGTAATTTTCTACAAAATAAAAATCCCGCCCAAAAAAAGAAATAAAATGCACAAAGGAAAAGAGTCGTGTCTTTAAAAAAATAAAAAGAGTAAAAGATTAAAAAAAAAAACGAGAGAAAAGAAAAAAAAAACTTTGTACACCAAACAAAAGTCAACAATGTATCTCAATCCTCAAACATGATTATCGGGTCGGAGCGGATCCGATGACCGTTCACCAACATCGTCCTTCCCAACAAACGGACGATCCAACGGTGGCTTTTCATGCTCCGACGAAGCCGCCTTCGGACGAGGCACCACATCATCACCGCCCACATCCTTTGAAGACCTGACTGACCCAGTCCGCGAAACAAAAGGCGGCACCACCGAGAAAACCCACCGGTCGGCCCTCGCCTCTGGTTCAAACCGCTCATAGTAACTAAACCCGTCCTTCCGACTGCCGCTCCGGTATCCCCTCCTTGCGCTCCCTACCCTCGGAAGCCCCGCGCCAGTGCTCTTCGCCCTCTCCAACGACGAGTTCACCAGCTGATTTCGTACGTCTGCCGGCAACCTAAGCGGGAACCGCTCATGACTCCCTCCCCGTCGGCCAATCAAATGGCCGGTCGAATTTGACCGCGGGAACATCCCACCCAATCTCCACCCAGTCGACCTTGATCTCCGCGGTCCGAACCCGGTCGACCGCGACCGCGACGGCCGGTTCTGGTTCCGGTTCGCTCCCCCGATCAGTCCAACCTCCGGCGACTCTTCATCTCTGATCGCCATCTCTCGATCCGGCCTGCTTGGTTCTTCAATATTAACGGAAACATGATCAGGTCGGACTGGGTCGTCAACCGGATGCAGAATTTCAGCCAGAGTATGGTGAACCTCGCCGGGTTTGGGGATTAGGTTAGCGCGACAGACGGGGCATGTAGCGTGAGAAACCAACCAGACGTCGATGCAATCAAGATGAAACACGTGGTCGCACTTGGGGATTAAACGCAGCGTTTCGCTGTCCTCGAACTCGTTCAAGCAGACCGCGCACTCCAGAGAGCCTTTCCCGATCTTGTGTCCCTTCACGGTCTTGTAGACGAAAGTCGGGAAGGTCTCGATGTTGTCCGGGTCAAGCCCACGGGCGCCTGTGGCCCAGCCCGGAGAGGATGGGCCAAAGCCGAGGTCAAGCCGGCCCCGGAACCTGTCCTGGGCGCACTGGCGGGTGTAGACGGAGAGGAAGCCCAATATGAAGAAGACGCTGACGAGGAGGACCATGACTATGGCCATTCTGAAGTCCACTGTTGGTTGGCCCTGGCTGTAATCCGGCGGTGGGGGTGATAGAATCTGTGCGGCTGCTTTTTCCGGCGACGCCAATGAGATCATGATTAAGAGGAAAATCATGATTGTTGCTTTCTTCATGATTATTGTCGTTTGTGGTTCAGGCCATATGGCCATTGATATTTCTGTAGTTGTCGTAGATGGGTATATATAATGATTATTGTCGTTTGTGGTTCAGGCCATATGGCCATTGATTTTTCTGTAGTTGTCGTAGATGGGCATGTATATATACTGGGGAATGGATAATAGAGAAGGGAGAGGAAAATAAACAGTTTTTTGAGAGCAGGGAAAGGACCAAGGGAGAGTGAATGAAGCAGCTTTGAAGGAGAAAAAGATTTTTGGAGTTGACTAAGGAGTTGGTGACGAGGACAATTACGAGGGGACCAAATTTTTATGTGACTTTTGGATGTATTAATGTCCAGATACGGAAGCTGTAACAAAGGTTGGCGTGTTTTGTTTCATTGGTTGCGGCGTGTAGAATTTTTGCCGGATTATTTCGATTTTGGACTTTGGTGACCAGAAAAAGTTATTAATTTGAGGTAATTTGGCTTTAACACTTTTGTTTTTAGTTTTAGACATAATCAAGGCGATTTTATCAAGGAAAGATGTTCGTTATGTGGATATATATATATATATATGTAAATGCCGGCTAATTTTGTTTTTTTTATCATCAATTGTTATAAATTTTCATGTAAAATGGTTTTTTTTTTTTTTTTTGTTGTGGTAAAATTTATGAGCCCTCGGTCCTATAATAAAGATATATAAATTTGTGATTGATTCAAGAAATATATGGCTTGGAGTAGATTGCTAAAGTGATCATTCCCTTTTTAAGCCTCTTACATGGCATTTCGTTTCTACATTTCTCTTTATATATAAGTTATTATCTACTGGTTGTAGTGAACATGATTGAATCTTTCATCTCAAGGCTTTAATCAATAATGAACCACTTATGAACTCATCTGTCTATGCCTGTTATTACTTCATAACCTTTTCATTAGAAGAGTGAGAAATTTTCAATTTGTAGGAAAAAAAAAAGGTGAATATAAAATCAGATGTAATCAATTTTGTGGTTCAATATATAGTTCTTTTGTCTGATGAAGGGTTAAGCGTGAGAATTTTTCCCTATTTTGGCTAGCTAACGAAACAAAGAGTTAATGTGGCAATAGCTAGATCACAATTTGAATGGTTGTGTGGTGATATATTTATTAGTTTTAATTTTTTTTTAAATGTGGTGATATATTTATTTGAAACTCCTTGAAGTCCTTATTTAAAACAACTCTAACCATACTAATTATTTCATGTTTTTAGCTAAAATAGATAATAATTTAGCTAGAATTTAGCTTTTCTCCACTCTAACTATTAGCTAAATGGTTAGCTATTTTAGATAATCTATTTCACACTAGTTAAATATAGCTAGTAAGAAGTCACTAACTATTTGATTTTTTGTATTATTTTATTATTTCATACCCAATAAATGCAAAGGTTTTTTTTTAAATTAAATAAAGTTATTTATAATTAAATTTAATAAATATTAAAATAATCTATGTTTAGCTAAAATAGAGAGTATGGTTAGAGTAACTCACTAGCTAACATAGTTTTTTAGTTATTTTAGCTTGAATTTAGCTAAAAAATAGAGTGTTCCTTTGGAGATGCTCCTATATCTAACTCGGTAACTTAGCTTGTGAGAAGGACCTTTATGAAGGAAATAATAATAATAATTTGGGGGTGGAGCTATTAATTTTAGCTTTTTTAATGTATTTTAGCTTGTTTTTTATTAATACTTTATTAATACTCGATCTTATCATCTTTATTTCCGTTTCTAATTTATACCTATTTTTAAGTTTCTATACATAATCATTCTCGTTCAACCTAATAATTTTTTTTTTCTTGTTATAATTGTCCTTTTTATTGAATTCAGTATTATTCCCTTCGAGATTAATCTAATTTTCCGTCCTTATCAACAAATGAAAAGTAGATGCCTGGCTTGTATGGTTACCATACTCAAAGGTGCTTCAAATTAACTAGGATGAGTTGAGGAAGCTTCTTGGCGCTGTTGATCTTGCCGGCTAAATCAAGTTTGCTTTGTCATTGATATAAATAGATAAATAGATTGATTTATAAAAAATAGGATTTTTTTTTTGCAATAACTAAATACTCATGAACTGCGCATACAGATATTGGAAGAAAATAATAATATAATAATAAGGACTCTACAAATTTGATGACCAATATGATCACAAGCAGCTGAAATTGATTGGATAATTTGTAAGCATACATAGTGTATTTTGCCAAATTTGACCGCTCAACTCTGAAAATTGTACAAAAAGAATTGGCGATAAGTAGGTGTGACAATGAAAGTGTATTTGTTTATTATCCTATAATACATTAGTTTTTCAAAATTCGTATCTCTACAAAAGACAAAAGAATATCGTACTTCTAAAAACTGAGATATATTAATAACTGAAAACAAGTTACTCCTTTTGGCTTGGAAACCATGGGCTTAATTTATAGATGTTCTATCGTGATTCGTGACTTGCACTCCTTAATTAATTATTTTTAATATTCATGATCTTCCTCCCAATCTTTATTCCTAATTTCAACTTTTGGTGTAATTTAAAATCATGCATCATTTATTTTCAACTTCATGTACTATATTCTCTAATTCCTATATGTAGCAATTGGATAAACCCACACGTTTTGGTTGATTTAAGCCCCACCAATATATATATATATATATATATATATATATTTATATTTATATTTATATATATGAAAGTCTATAAAGATCACTACCATTTGAGTAGTACAAATTACTCAGCAGTGTATTTCTCAAAATACCCTTTAAGCAAAGGTGACATTCGCAGTATTATTAAAAATACGGTACAATAGAATACAACATGGTACATATCAAATGCGCCTCATGAGAAATATTTTCTTTTAGAGAAAATAGAATCATGGGACAAATTTGGAAAGAAAAAAAATAGAATTATGTGTCTACCGCATCTATATTGTATATTGCAACCATCATTAATTGGTTTCTTTGTTGTACTAAATAAAACTTAAATGAAGGACTCATATGTTTTACGGTAGGTTTTCTTAAAAATAAATCTGTAAGTTTAGGTCAAGTTAAACACGCTGACTCGAGACACATCACCGTTAGTCCGACCCTGCCAAACTGAGGTGTTGAACCCCAAAAACTTATTTGTGCCGGTCCAACCTAATACTTGTCGGGTTTTAAAACTCAGCTTGCTAAAAATTTTCATTTGGGCCGTAGGACTTGTGCCTGAAGGGCCTGCGGGTCAATAGCATCTGTATCACTTTTAGAAAGAGTTGGTATTCATATATATTGTCCATTACAGAAATGATTTGTCTAATTTATGCATAATGATTAATACTGATGAATAACTAGAGTTCATAGGTGATATTAATACAAAGCCCCATGTTTCGGTCGAATACTTGCTGAAACGACAACTAAGATTAAATCACAAATAAATGGAAAGCGACAGGAAATCCGAAATGCCTCTAAAATAACTAATTAGATGTCTATTTATGTTAAAAATTTAACGGAGTTGACTTTTTTATTAATATTTTATTGTTTAGGGAGAATGGATATTATGTTTTAAACATTAGGAGACAAAATGTTATAAGGGTTATAGTTTGGGAGGAATTTTTGTAATTAATAGAAAAAAGTACACGATATAATGCTGACCACAAGAGATGAAACAACAATGGAAAATGTGGAATAGCAATTGAGAAAACGACCAAAAAATTCAAAACGACATGAAATAAGCAAACAAAAATCAACCTTAAACGGACTAAAAAAAAGTACGACATGCATTAAGAAACGATGAAAATGAAACGATAACAGTGTGGAAAACAACATAGAATATGGAAGAAAAAAGATGAAACAAATATAAAGAAATAAAGGACAACCAAAAGGAGAAACAATGATTAAAAAAAAAAAAAAAACGACAGTGAAATATAAAGCAAAGAAACATAATCAAACCGCAATCAATCTTAAACGGCAATACAGATACGACCACACGATAAAAACAAGGACGAAGGAAAAGAGAAATGAGAAAACATGAAACGACTATAAGGAATCAACTTATACATAAACTTAGAAACAAACGACAAAAAACAATAGTTTTGAAAAGGACAAAAATAAGCTTACAATAACAAAAAATAATCTATCTATATCTATGCTAGATAAGGGAGAATTTCTCCATACAGTAAACAAGGACGAAGGAAAAGAAAAATGAGAATTTCTCCATAAGCTTAATACAATAACAAACAATCTCCATACAGTAAACAAGGACGAAGGAAAAGAAAATTGAGAAAACATGAAACGACTTATACATAAACTTAGAAACAAACGACAAAAAAAAAAAAAAAAAAAAAAAGTTTTGAAAAGGTCAAAAATAAGCTTACAATAACAAACAATAATCTATCTATATTCTATGCTAGATAAGGGAGAATTTCTCCCTTAGCCTCCGGAGTTTTTTTTTTTTTTTTTTTTTTTTTTTCAACTTTTTTTTTTTTTGGTTTTTTTTTTTTTTTTTTTTTTTTGTCAACTTTTTCTCTTTTGAGTTTTTTCTTTCTTTTTCGTCTACTATTTCTTTGCTGTTTTGAATTTTTGAGACAAAATGAGATAATCTCAATTTTCAACAATTAAATTTGAAATTAACTATTGTTTTAAGGGTACCCCTATTCATCCGTATAAGAATAAAATATCACTACTCATGTAAAGTTAGTCCAATTAGGTTGCCACTTAGTGAGTGATGGGGTTTTTCTACAGAATTGGTTGCAACGGTTTCACATGAATGCAAATCGCATAGGGATAGATATTATTTTTGTTGTCAAGATCTTTAGTGCACAAAACGCTTCTTTTTTTTTTTTTTTCCTTTTTTTTCATTTTTCTCTTACTCTTGTGTTATTATATATTTTTTTATATTCCTCTCTAATTTCTCATTGATATAATTTCTTCTCACACATATTCCTGTTTAATTTTTTTAAGTTCCTTTTTCCCTTTCTTTTCATTTTTTATCATTCCCTTTTTTTCACTCTTATTCTTTTGCCTTATTATACGTTCTTTTTTTTTTTTCTCCAAATGTTACTCTCATAACTATATTTTTCTCTCTAATTTCATGTTTAGATAATTTCCTCTCATACGTATTCATCTTTAAAGTTTTTAAACTCTCTTTCCCAACTAAAAAATGTTTCGTCTGTGTTTTTTTCCCCCCCCTACTTTCCTTCATTTTTCTCTTGTTTTTTGTCTTCTCCATTCTTTTATTCTTATCTTCTTTGTCTTGTTTTACATTTTTTTCTTCCTCCAAATAAGACTTTTATAAATATGTTTTTCTCCCGAAAATATGTGTTATGAATCAAATATAAATAATGCTATTAAATTGTACATGTATTAACAAAGATACAACTACTATAAATGAACTGAAGTCAGAAATGATAATAAATTATGGATTATTTTTATAATTACCAAACACCCCTCCGTTCTCTTCC